GAGAGGAAGGGAGAGAGAGAGTTAGAAACATCGATGAGATAGAAACATCCATGAGAGAGAAACATCCCCCAGTGGGGATGTGCCCACAACCAAGGCATGTGCCCCTGACTGGAATCGAACCTGGGACCCTTCAGTCCTCAGGCCGCCACTCTATCCACTGAGCCAAACCGGTCAGGACAGTTATTACAGTATTATTAACTATGTTAGAAATAAGGCAAGCCCCCGAGCCAGGGGTCCTGGTAGGACACAAAGGCTACTGAGGACCCAAACAGCAAGACAAACACCTTCACTCCTGCAGGAGGGTGAGCAGCACAGGGTCTGGCAACGCCCACACTGAGCAAACCAAGGGCTGGGGTGGGGGCTTTATTGCTGACCCTCCTCACCTGTCCCTCACTCTTGATTGGTCAGAGCTTAGGCTCACATTCTGGTGCGATTGGCTAATTTAAAGGAAAAAGGGAGGGATTGACCTTTGCCATTTCAAAGTGGTGGCCATCAGGGGAGCTGCAAGTCACGAAAGCTAAAATGATGTCTGCCTAAACTCCCTTCTTTGACAGAAAAGATTACTTGTTTATTCTCACAACTACGTGCACTGTATTCCCTATGCTCTACCTTATGTCTCATGCCTATTTTGTAACTACCAATTCGTACGTCTTAATCCCATCACCTTTTTCTTTTTCTTTTTTAACTGCATTTCCGACACCCCTCCCTCTGAGATGCCGTTCCCTGGAAAGAATGAGGAAACAGCTCTTCATCAGTCAGGGCTGGCTCAAGACCCTCAAGCTTGTACACGTCAAAGTTTTGGGACTTTTCACTCGGCTTCTCCTGAGAGGTCTTGGGGGTCTGGAGGGAGAATAGACCAGGGGAACCCCAGGGACTCGGGTGCCAGGACTCCAGAGCACCGCCTCACAGGCCCCTGGGAGGTTGTTCCGCTCTGGAAGGGAAGCCGCACCTGGCAACTGGCTACCTGTCAGGGGAACCCAGGCCCCATCAAGAATGCTGTGGAAGAGAGAGGACCTGCTGCATTCTGAGTCCTGGCAGTTCTTGAAAAAACAAACAAACAAACAAACAAAAAAAGCCCCCACAGCCGAAGTTCTGCAACACAAAATAAGAAGGCTTTATAGCGTTCAGCAAGATGGCAGCGATATAGGCAGACGCGTCCCAGGTCGTCTCCCGGAGGGGGAAAAAAAAAAGATTTTATAGTGCAAGATAAGAACTTCCAAGCCTGTGACATTTTTAAAAGAGCTTATTAGCATTCATTTGAGCCAGGCAGAGGATACACCTGGAAGCAAGATTTCAACAGAATGAAAAATGCTTCCTAGAATGAGTTTGCAGTTTCTTTTTTGCATTTGAAATTAAAGAGGTAATTCAAGGAAGATTACATGAAGGTGGGAGAAAGCAAGGCAGAGATGGGATGGTTAACAATGTGCTCTCTTGAGGGTGGTTACCTTCTGAGGGGTCTGAAAAGAGCGGCCTAGAAAAAGAGGCATTTCAATCAAAGGCGTGTAAACCTAGGTGCACAGAAACTATGGACAGGGCTTGCGAAGGCAAAGATGAAGCTTTCACTAAAGAAGTTATATGCCTGAGTGTGACTCCCACCATCATCTGCCTTGTTAGGAATTTATAATAAGATCACCCTGTGAGGTTATTGGTTAGATTTATTATAGCCTGCACCTTTTTTTTTTTTTTTTTTTGTGAGAACACCTCAGCAAAATAAAATTCCTGTTTATTGTGGACAACATTGTTTCACACATACATCGAACAGGCCAAAAAAAAAAATAAATAAATAAACAGCAATTTTATAGACAAAAAAAGGGAAAAAAGAAACCTTTTTATCTTTGGCCTTTTTAACCATCTTTTACAAACGAACTACTTATAGTACGGCTAAGTACATACACAAAAAGTTACTGGAATGCTCGGAATAAGATTGTTTTTTTTATTGTTGTTTTTGCTCTTTTTACAAGGTTTTTTTCTCCTTTGAGATTATAATGAACATGGTCACACAACAGGTAAAGTCAGAAGTAGGACAGAGAATGCTCCAAAGGCTGGTTTGGTCATCCCAAGATCATTAAAAATGGCTGACCCCTAACAATATGTACAAAAATATAAAATGTAAATGAAAAATACAAACAAATTTTCCTTTTTAAAGTACTTTTAAGAAAAAAAGCAGAGCAGGGCCTTGGGAGTTTTGGTTCTTTTTTCCTCCCCTGTTGCAAATTCGCGTTGTGGTTTTGGCTGGGTGGTGGAGAGTGCTGTCATCTGCAGACGGCGCTGCCTGAGGTGGGTGGGTAGGCAGGTGGGCGGGAGTCTCTACTGGAAGGTGACCCACGTTTAGACTCTCAGACGGGAAGTGGAGGGTGAATAGGTCACGGAGGCCTTTCACTTTTCCTTTTTTTTTTTGCTGTCTAGTCATCCTCATCGGTCTTCTGCTTCTTGGTGTCAACATCCTCATCCTCATCATCTTCATTTGCCCATTTGCCTGTAGCTGCCTCAGCCTCCTCATCTTCATCTCCATCCTCTTCCTCACCATCACCTTCTTCTTCCTCCTCCTCCCCTCTTTCTTCCTCTTCTTCATCTACCTCATTGTCAGTCTCCTGCTCCCCGTTTTCCTCATTAGCGTTCCCATTCGCAGGTGCATCTCTTCCATTCTCTGTCTCCTCCACAACTTCCTTCTTCTCCTTTAAGTCCTTGGTGGTGATCTCGGAGCTGGTGTCCACGGCCGTGTCTGACAGGGTGGGGCACGCCGGTGATCCTATGCAGCGGATTTTTTTTTTTTAAAAAAGCGATAGTTGGAGGACTCTGGCGAAGAAGCCCCGGAGTCCGCGGCGGTGGGAGGTGGTTGCAGCGAGCGGAGAGGGAGCCACAGGAACAACGCAAAGATGGCTTTTCAGAGCAGCCAGTGGGGGCTATAGCCCGCACCTTTTCATCCACAATGGGAAAAATAAAGTTAGGGATGGGTTGGTCAAAATGTAGGCAACTTTGTAATCAGAACACTATAAAAATATGAACGATTCTAATAGGAATACTAGCACAGTTAAATTTCCATGAGCATTTGCTCATAGCAACACCTTCTGTCCCTTTGTGATCTTAAAGGCTGGGACTTGTCTGGAGATATTAACTTGGAGATGTTGGTCTGGAGATTCTACCTTCTAATGAAGACCATTTTCATCAAAATTAAAAATCTGATCCTAGGTGTAGTCTCCATTAATCTGTTATTTTAATATGGGAAAATGTGTTGCAGTTTCTTCACCTGCATTCACAGCTTTGCCACATACCGTAATGGCAAAGCATTATTTGTAGCAAGCATTGTGGTATTTGAAGCCACTGTGGATATGAAGGAAGATATTTTCCATAGTTACGCAACTTTCCCCCGTAAGATCGTCTTTTATTACTAAAGCTGCCCTTTAACTGTGAAAAAAACTGGCCCTTGATTGCTTTAAGACATTAACTTCTTGGAGAAAATTGCACATTAACCTCACATTTAATCCTCACCTGAGGATATTTTTCCATTGATTTTTAGAGAGTGGAAGGAAGAGGGAGAGACACACACACACAGAGAAACATCAATGTGAGAGAGACACATCAATTGATTGCCTCCCGCGTGCACTTGGCCCAGGGCCAGGAGCCTGCAACTGAGGTACGTGCCCTTGACCGGAATTGAACCCGGATCCTTCAGTCCGCAGGCCGATGCTCTATCACTGAGCCAAACTGGCTAGGGCCCCATGCTATATCCTTTAACAATTCATCTTGTTCCTTCTGATTAGGATGCTTATTCTGAAATACCTTAAGTTCTTTGATGTACTGGTGTCTGTTTCTGGCCTCTTGAGTCTGTTCCCTTGATCAGTTTGTCTGTTCATGTGTCATACAGCTTTGCTTTCGCTTTTTAACTGTGGCTTTTTAGTATATCTTATCTGATACAGGCAATCTCTGTTTTGCCATTCTTTCCTATTTGTGGGTCTTAACTCTTCCACATGCATTTTTGAATTCATTTTTGTGTTTCTAAAAAAATATATCCGGAATTTGGGCTTGCATTGAATTTATAGATTGATTTAGGTAGAAGACACGTCTATTATTAAATTGCTGCACTCATGAACGTGGTTCATCTCATTTGTTAGATTTCTTTTATGTCATTTTAATAACAGTAAATTTTTTCCATAAACATTTTGTAGATTGATAGGTGAATTCCTAGATTATTTTTTTGTTAATCCTCACCTGACAATATTTTTCATTACCTTTATTTAATTAATTATTTTTATTTTATTATTTATTTATTAATCTTTATTGTTGAAAGTATTACACATGTCTCCCTTTACCCCCCATTGACCTCCTCCAGCCCGCTCACCACCCTATTGTCTGTGTCCATGGGTTATGCATATATGCATATAAGGTCTTTGGTTGATTACCTCCCACCCACCCTCCCTCCCCCACCTTCCCTCCAAGATTCCCTCTATACCACGCTTTTCTCTCACTTATCATGATACTCTCCAGGCCCCTCCATGCTCTCTCAAAGGGTAAGAGAGCCTTTTTTTTTTTTCTACTGCTGCATAATATTCCGTGGTATAAATGAACCACCGCTTTTTTATCCCCTCATGTACTGATGGACACTTGGGCTATTTCCAGGTCTTCGCTATTGTAAATTGTGCTGCTGTGAACATAGGGGTGCATACATTCTTTCTGATGGTGCTTCAGGTTTCTCAGGATATATTCCTAGAAGTGGGATCACGAGGTCAAATGGCAGTTCCATAGTTAATTTTTTGAGGAAACTGCATATTGTTTTAATTTGTGTCTCTCTGATTATTAGAGAATTTGGACATTTTTCATGTCTTTTGGCCATCTGTATGTCCACTTTGGAGAAGTGTCTATTTAGGTCCTTTGCCCATTTTTAAATTGGACTGTGTGTCTTCCTTTTGTTAAGTTGTATGAGTTCCTTATATATTTTGGATATTAACCCTTTATCAGCTGTATCATTGCCAAATATATTCTCCCATACAGTGGGCTCCCTTTTTGTTTTGTTGATGGTTTCTTTTACTGTGCAGAAGCTTTTAGGTGGAGTGGAAAGGAGGGAAGTAGGGAGAGAGGTGGGGAGAAAGAGAGAGAGAGACATCAATTGGTTGCCTCCCGCATATGCCCCGCTCAGGGCAGGGGATCAAACCTGCAACCCAGGTATGCCCTTGATCAAGAATTGAACCCGTGGGAGAACCAAGATGGCGGCGTAAGCTACAGACCTGTGCGTGCTGCCTCCCACAACAACATTAAGAATACCAACTATAGCCGAAACCGGTTTGGCTCAGTGGATAGAGTGTCGGCCTGCGGACTGAAGGGTCCCAGGTTCGATTCCGGTCAAGGGCATGTACCTGGGTTGCGGGCACATCCCCGGTGGGGGATGTGCAGGAAGCAGCTGATTGATGTTTCTCTCTCATCAATGTTTCTGACTATCTCTCTCCCTTCCTCTCTGCAAAAAATCAATAAAAATATATTAAAAAAAAAAAGAATACCAACTATAAGACAAAACAGCTATCTTTCAGAACCATGGGAAAGCTGGCGCCGTGGAAGCTCTACAACTGGAAGGAATGAAAGAAGAGCATTGAGACTGAGTAGGATATGCAGAGGCGCCAAGAACAGAGGTTCCGAGTTGCACGCCAGGCGGGCTGCAAGTGGATGCGCGTGTTTTTTTTTCAATCAAAAGGGGTTACAAACTCTCGAATCCACTGAGCTTGTTTGGGGTGGGATTCTGAGGTCCCAGACCCCTACGGGAAGAGGTGGGACGGCCTTGCAGCAAGTCGGAAAGCTAAGGCGGCTTTCTTGCGGTGGTGCTCACCGGCACTCCGGGACGCAGAGAGGCGGAGTCGCAGAGAGGCAAGGAGTCGAGAAGACGCCATTGCTGTTTGCTCAGCCCTGGTGACTTCCTGAGACCCCGCCCTACTCAATTTACATCCCCACCCAAGCTGTGCCAAAGGCACAAAAGGAACCACTGGCACTTTTACAGCATAACCCAACAAACTTCAGATTGCAACTCCTCCCATCCATAAGGGACACACTGAAGAAGCAGAATCAGGTTCAGAGGAAGCCAGAACCGGACCCAGCTGGGCCAACAACATGGAACCACTGTACCAGCAAACGCACAAACAGGTCCACCAGATCCAGTCTCACATGGGACGCTGGGAGACGGCAGACAACCAGTCT